TGTCAAACAGCATTTGGACACTTATGAAACAAAAGTACAGTCAGATTACATCGAAATGCAGAAAGTTATAGATGACAAAAGCAAGGAAATAACGACAGAAGTTAAGGCACTCACCTCCACGCAGGTGAAGACTTTAGAAGCTGAAAAGGACAAGCTAGAAATTAACAAGATTTCCATTCAGAGTATTCGTAATTTCGCTCAGCAACTCACAGACACCGGTTCTGACATCGAGGTCATGACCCACTCTAAAAAACTCCAAACTAGAATTCAGGAGTTAGAGACAGTAGAACCAGTCTTTGATACCAAGTTCACCGACATAACATTTACACCAGGGCAAACAGCAATGGACGTTGTGCTACAGTTTCCTAAAATCCCTGAACCACGGCCGCTGTCCATCAAAACGGGGTCAATTACGGCCAAAACATACCAGGGTTCCTTGGATGCATATTTTGGACGTTTAAAACAAAAGAGAGCAAACTATCCTGCGCTGAAGGAATTTCTGAAGGTAACCTGGCTTGATAAGCCCGAGCGGAATGTTTGTTTTAGAGTGAGGGATCCGCCGCTGGATATCCAGTGCACAGATGATGGTTGTATTTTAGTTAGTTTAGGTCGCCGGTGCTATGATCGTGATGCAGTGTCCGTATTCTCCAGCACAGGTCAATGTAATCGTGAGATCAGTATAGAGGGAGAGGCGAGGTGTATTACTACTGTCAGTAACGATAGATTCGTGGTCACATGCAGAGATAAATGTTGTAGACTGTATTCAACATCAGGTCAGGTTATCCGATGTTTTGGTCAGGGTGATATGTCTAAACCCTGGGGCGTCACTGTGGACCGTACAGAGGGTAAGGTGTACGTGTGTGATAGTGGTGCACAGTGCATCTGTGCGTACGACATGAATTCTTTTCAACTTGTAAACAGAATTCCTATCCCAATGTGCAGTAAAGGTTCACTGCACTGTGCATGCCACCACGGCATCAATGCAATTATAGTCAGCGACTACAGTGCCCACTGTGTGTATGCAGTGACACCCCAGGGTGACATCATGTTCCAATATGGAGCACGAGGTCAGAGTGGAAGTGGAGACGGACAACTGAGTTATCCACGAAGAGTGTGCGTAGATAAGATTGGACACACATTCATAGCTGACAGTGGTAATCACAGGGTGGTTGTCCTTGGTTCAGACGGACATTTTCTACGTAACATTTTGACAAGGAATGACGTTATTGGATCTCCTGCGTCAGTTGATGTCAACAGTAATGGAGAACTTGTTGTTGGAACTAACACTGGTGAAATATCCACATATAAGTATATAAATTAGAAGTCACGTAAATGATTTGACACTGTGATGATGTTTGAATTGTGATTAATATCACAGAAGAAAATGTAATGAACACACTTTTAACGTATTTTAGAACCATCCAGCACCCTGTTTGTAAAGACATATGAGGCAATCAATTTGATCGCTTTTAGCACTTTCTTCCTATGCAGATTACCAAATAATTGATTTCATTTTCAGTTAATATATTTATTTTATAAAATATAATTGATAGCAGTGGATTTATCTTTGGCCTGTTAATGAAACGTGTCGGTAATATATGTTTTTTCATGTGAAGAGTTTTTATAGGTATAGGATTGATATGGTATATAACAAGAATTTTAAACATTAGCCTTTGCTGGTTAATGGCACTAGTTTGAAATACAGCTTGATGTTTAGAAATAAAATCAAATGAGTATTGATCTTGTTAAGTATCATAATTATTATTATCATTTTGCTAGGCCTTAAGGCTCCGCTGCACTAAAGCGGTCGCCAGCAAAACAATGTTTCTTTTCAGTAATCTAAGCATGTTAATGTCGACTGGGCACTCGAACCGGGCATAATTTAACAAATAGTTCACAAAGTAGTAAGGAACCAACGCGACGGTTACTATCGACGTGTGGATTGACGTGTGGATTGTTTGTTTGTCTGTCTGTCTGTCTGTCTGTCCGTCTGTTTGTTCGTCTGTCTGTCTATCTGTCTGTCTGTTTGTCTGTCTGTTTGCTTGTAGAAATAGTGCACAAAGTAGTAAGGAATCAACGCGACAGAGAAAATAAGAGCAGGAGCCCTGCTTTCTCTTTCTGGGAACTGTTAATATATACTGTGCAGGACTACCAGAATCTTAAGAGGGGGGGGGGAGGAGTAGCATTATTTCCACTGAACACCGTTCACGTGTACTCTAAGGTGGTGCCTAAAATAACATGTAAGATGCAGACTCGACTTAATATAAGTTTAATTGTTGAATTAGCTATAGCAATTCATGTCTCATACTTTGCACGATTTATCACTCATTGTTGTGAAGTATATCGATTCAACAATAGGCAGATTCTCCCCTCTTATCATCTTCCCACGATAATAATTGGCGTGATTGAAAAAAAAAAAAAAAAAAACTAGCACCCCTCCCCACTCCTAGACGTTTTATATGTGAAGAAGAAGAACCGAACCTGTACCTACGTGGTTGATGAACATAATTAACGTAAACACAATTCCAGTATAGATCACGATTAACAACACACAATTAATTTTGTTTCTATTTATATATCACTGATTAGTCTCACGAGCAGTGGATGCCGACATTTCCCATATACTTTAAATAGCATTCACTGTTATTTATTTCCATTAAAAATAAACAGGGTGTCTGGAAATAAGTGGCTTCATTGGTTACTTTGAATTAATTTGAAATATGAAGCTGCCGATGATGTTCGTGTATTTTCGTTCCACCATTCGGCTTGCCCGG